GTATTCCCTTGCCCACCTGTACACAAAGGTATGGCCCAGCCCCAGCAGCCTCCTGGCAGAGACTGGTGTGAGCTTGCAGTGTGGGGCTGAGGGAAAACTGGTGCTGTGCTGCCCAGGAGATTTCTGAGCCCTTCAGTATGTGTGAGGGGTTTCAAAGTGCTGCTTTCTAACCACGAGTGCCCTGTTGATGTGACTCAGGCACAGCCTGGGGACTTTGTCCCTGCCCTGGTGGGAAGCACAAGGTCAGAATCAAGGCTTTCCCTCACGCTCCCCTGGCTTCCAGCCAGCTGCATTCACCTAGGAGTATATTTACACATTCCTTGTGTGACATTTCCTACCTATTTCCCAAGTGACTAATTCTCATTAGTGATCCCATTCTCTAAGGATTCTGCAGCCAGGGAAATAATCAGTCCCAAACCTATATTTAAGAATGTAACTTCTGTGGAACTCTTTACACACTTGAAGCTTAACTTCTGCTGAAGTTCCTTGTATAAACTTGGATGTTGCAATCCAAACAGAGGTGGCAGGAAAATGGGAAGGAGAGCAAGAAGAATTCTGCTTCTTTATAAAAGATAGCAAAAAGGTTTTGTTTAAACCTAAATTTATTTGTGTCCTAAGAAATCCAGCTGGAAACTCCAGGTGCAGGAGCTGCATTCAGAGATGCTGAAGGACAGAGCAGACAGAGCAGGGGGACACAGCAAGGTGTGAAATTGTTCTGTTGCTTGGCAAAGGTATGGCTGTTATTTTTTTTTTTTCCCTAATTGTGCTATCTCATAAAGGTATAAATATAAATACAAATCACGCACAGAAGACGTTTTAGCATAATGACCAGGTGTCAGAAATACTTGTCCTGAATAGGCAGAGATGTTGTGCATTGATGGGGAGGGAGAACTGAGACAACAGAGAGAACATTCACACAATCACTGCTTTTCTCTCTTTTCCTTTCACTGCTTTTCTCTCTTTTCCTTTTCCTGCTCAGCTGTGGTTCTGAAAAGTTCACAGCTTCAATTTTCCCTTGGGTTGCTGTGGAGAGCCCAACCACTGAGTGATGTTGAAAATCCCACCTTGAGCTGCCTCAAGGACAGGCAGCTCTAGTGATCCTGGGGATTGCTGTGTGCTGAACACTTCTGGTACCAGAAATGTCCAAACAGCCCCAGTGCATTTATATCCAGGTATTGCCTGACCCCAAAAGAGGGGCTGCTATCCAATGGCATGGCAAGAGCAGCTGGCACTGCAGCAGAGGGGCTGATAAGCAGAAAATCCCCAGCTCCTCCAGGCACTCCACTTCAGCACTGCTTCACAGGGAGGATCTCTGCAGGCCATCTACATAAAACCCCATTTTTTCTAACTCCTGAGATGCTGCATGGCCTGGGCTGGGAATTTTTGGCAGGAATTGGTCTTTGCCAGTAAAACCTGGCTTCAACCAGAACATTTTGCTGCTCAGTGGAATGCTGTACCCAAGGCATGTGCTCACAAGGAATATCTGCATCCAGCAGCAGTGGCCAGGCAGGGATTTACCTGGTGCTGGCTTTGGAAGGGGAATCCCAACACCTGGGCCCATCCAGGTGTGCTGCTGCTCCTCCCCAGGCATTTCTCCTTCCCCAAAGATCAGGAAGTCTTTTGAGGTTGTCCTGGCTTTGTGGGCAGGCCACGAGGGCAGATCTCTCCTGGGATTTGTTGCCAGCTTTCTGGCAGGATCCAGGTGGAGCCCCTGGGATTTTCCAGTTCCTCCTGCCCTGCAGCAGGTCCCTTCTCCACTGCCAGCTGGCATGGCACAGGCCTGGCACACGGCTGCATGTCCAACCCGTGGGACAGGGTTTGGAATTCCTCTTTATGCTGCTTGTGGCCCTGACGTGCTGAGGATGCCATGAAAAATAAACCCAAATGCCAACTTCTCCAGGCCACAGGACTTGATGCTCTGCTGGGTGGGATACTGAGGCAGCCAGAGCTGCTCTCCTGTGTCATTCCATTGATGGTTTTGGGAACTCAGCCTGAAACTTGGCTTCCCTTTGAGGAGGGATGTCCCTTCCTCCAGCAGGGCACCACTATGGCCTTAATATAGATTTTCTGCTAGCAACACAAGCCACGTGTTCTGGTTTGAAAAACTCTTTTTCCTCTCCTCACTCTGGACTGAAGCACAAAAGAAAGTGATTTCTCTTTCCCAAAGGAGCAGCGGAGGGAGCCTGGAAGGTGTCCAGGGAAAATCATCGCCAGACTGGAATTATTCATTCAACATGCACCGCACCATGACACACAAGGTGGCCCACACATGCTGCTGCAATGACATAACTTGCTCTCCTTTTTCCTGAAAGGGACATTTCCAGTGAAAGAGATGAGTTTGCATCCCTTCAGAGGCACCAGGTGACACCACGTGCACCCACGGCAAGGCAGGGATGACCAACGCGCCTCACCCTGCGGGCACCGTGCCCAGGGACACTCCCCTGTTGCACAAACCTTCCCGGGTTTCCCTTCTCCTCTTGCTCCAGGAAGGACTCAGGAATTCACTGCAGCTGCTCCTCGCCTGCTGAGTCCCTCCCTCCCTCCCAGCACTGTCCCCAGAGCACTCGAAGGTGACAATCGTGTCTGGGCAGAGCTCTGTGGGGCAACCAGAGGACTCCTCCCATGGGCTGCAGGGGTCAGGAGGCCAATACCCATCAACTCAGGGCTGCCCAGTCATCCCACAGTGCCCAGGGCACCCACACCCCAAAACCAGTGCCCCAGAGAGCTCTGCCACACATGGCTGCTCCCAAAAGACCCCATCCGATGGGGCACATGAGGACGGAGCCATTTAGCAAACTTTGACTGCAGAAGGAGATGCAGAAAGACATTTTCCTGAGAGCTTTTATGCCCAGAAATATTCCCAGGGACCGAACCACCCTGAACCTGCAGGCTCCTGGGGGATATGGCTCCTTGGGGCATTCAGAGCCAGCCTCACAGGCAGAGACACCCAGCCCTCTGTGCTGCCCTGCTGGACAGCACCCATGGGCACAGAGAGCAGCAGGGTCAATGGTGAGCACAGACAGCAGCAGGGTCAATGATGAGCAGGGAGAGCAGCAGGGTCAATGAAAAGTTGGGAACAGGCAGGGCCCAGCTGAGGTGCAGCTCCTCCCACAGCACCCAGGGCACCCCGCCAGCCCCAGTGACCTTCCTCTTCCTCCCTGGGACTCGTAGAGGTTGTAACTCGTCTGATCACCTTGTAACATCATTGTGGAGAGATGACGTGTTCCTAACTGGGAGCAGGTGCATGGGAATGCACACCAGAGTTGCAATTCCGACCGTTTGCATTGTGCTCTTCTTCTTAAGAAGCCAAACCCACTCATTAAAAAACCTTTTCTCTGCTAACGCTGCCAACAGGGTCACTTACGATCCAGGAACGCATTGGATTGGCTAAAGAAGTTAACATTTGATTATTCTTCCACTCCAAAGTTTCAAGACTGTTCTTCTCTCGTGGGACACAAACCTAGAGCAGTAGCAGAGACTGCCCAAAGCACCTCGTGAATTTTACCCTCAACCCCAAGTAGCACCCAGCTTTCCAAGCTCCTCCACGTTCAGCCTCTGCTCTGCTGTAATTCCACATTTCCAGAACTGAAGGACCCCAAATCCTCTCAGCTCATGCCCAGCCCCTGAAGAAAGCTGTGCTTTGGCACCTGCAGGTAGGGCAGCCTGGGTTTCTACAGCTGGGACAGACGGCAGTCACAAAGTCAGGGCAGCATCACAGCTCACAGCCTGAAGGAATTGCCAGATTTAACAGCCCCAGGTTAGAGGCAGGTCAGGCGGAGGATGCTGCACCCTGAGCTCGGCATCACTCGGGCAGAGCAGCTTCGGGGTCACAGCGGGGCCAGCGCAGCCCTGGGAGCCACCAGCAGAGGCGCGGCCGCGGCTCTCACCCTCCCGAAACATCCCCGGGCTAAACGTGAGCCAGGTGACAAACCTGCCTTCGAGGCCGCTGGAAACCAACCCCCTTTCCTAGGGCCCTTAACGCTGCTGATTAACTGAGGATTTGCAGAGCTGAAGCTAAAATTCAAAGCTTAATTCACCAGACCTAGAGCATGGGGTGCTCCTGCTGAACTCAGCCTCCCGTGGGAACAGGCACTTGCAGGAGGAGTGGAGCAGCGTGGAAGAGGGTTGGAAGCAGCAGAGCAAAGTTTGTACGGCTGGGAGCAAAGTGAGAGTAGCTGTCTGGCAAAGGAGAAGAGCTGAGACTGAGCCCTGGACTGAGAGAAAGTTTTAATGGGGAATTAAAACCAGGATGCAAAGTTCAGGGTCAGATGCTCTTTAACTGTCTCAAATCGGATCTCTGCAGAAGTTCACATTAATAATAATTAATTATCCACCAGAGCTGTAGCTGTCAGCCCACGGGTGACTGACCCAGTGACATCAGCAAATCTTCCTGAAATCAGACACTGAGAGGGGAAGCCACAGATTTAACCCAAAAAAAAAGGGAGGGAAATGAGCTATAGCATCAAAAATCTGGCAGAAATCAGTGCACAGTGATTTCCACCAAGTAGTGTTTTTTTTTTTTTTTTAAGCATCCCCTGTGGCACAGAAATAAAAGTTTCAAAGTCATGTACTCCTGAAACCAGACACTGAGAGGGGAAGACACAGATTTAACCCAAAAGAAAGGAAATAACCCGTAGCAAAAATCTGGCAGAAATCAGTGCAGAGACAGTGATTTCCACCCAACAGTGATTTTTGTTTTTTAAGCATTCCCTATGGCACAGCAATAAAAGTTTTAAAGTCATGTACTCCTGAGACAGACACAGCGAGGGGAAGCCAGAGATTTAACCCAAAAGAAGGGAGGAAAATGCAACACAGTGTCAAAAATCCGGCAGAAATCAGTGTTTTTAAAGCATTCCCTGCAGCCCAGCAATAAAACTTTCAAAGCCATGTACTCTGCTTGAAAGTGAGGAACCGTTAGTTAAAAAGAACGAGCCATAATCAGATTTATCCTCAGGGTGAGGAAGAAGGAATGCCACAGCGAGCCTCGTGCGTGCCATCGAACGCGAGAAATCCCAGAATCCCAGAATCCCAGAATAATGAGGTTGGAAGAGACCTCTGAGATCATCAATCCAACCCATGCCCTAACACCACAACTGGACCATAGCACCAAGTGCCAAATCCAGTCTTTTTATAGACATATCCAGAGATGGTGATTCCACCACCTCCCTAGGAAGACAATTCCGGTATTTTATTGTTCTTTCAGTGATTTTTTTTTTTTTTCCCAGTATCCAACCTCAACCTTCCCTGATTCATCAAGAGCATGAGAAGCGCTCCAGAGCGGCTCCGTCGGGAGGCGCGGACGGGGCTCGGGCGCGCTCCCGGTGCCTTCCTTACCTGGCTGCCGCAGGAGCTGGGCGCCCGCAGGTTCCCGAGCAGCAGGTAGGCTGTGGGCAGCATCAGCAGCAGCACGGCCAGCAGGCAGAGCAGCAGCGCGCAGCGGATCCTCCGCAGGTCCTGGCGGAGGCGCATCCCGGCGCCGTGCGCGCTGCCCGCAGCCTCCGCGCCCATCTCCGCCGCGCTCTCCATGCCAGCAGCGCCGGGCTCGTCCTGCCGGGGAGCCGGGCACCGCCAAACCTCCTGTGGCGCCTGCCCTGCATGGAGACCCCCATTAAATAAGAGCTGTCGCGAGTGTGGGAAGGCACCGGCGCGCACACCCTCCCTCCCTCCCGAGGAATGCACCGCCTACAGTAGAAACCCGGCAGGAACAGCGGGAGCGCTCCCCGCGCCGCCGGGGCCGGCTCCTGCCTCCGACCGCTCCTGCTCCCCCCGCTCCCTGCAGGAGGAAGCCAGGAAAGTCCCGGTGGGCGGAACCAGGATCAACCCTGCTGCTGCTGGTCCTGCTGCTGCTGCTGCTGGTCCTGCTGCTGCCCGGCCGCATCGGCTCCGCAAGATTTTCCGCCTGGCAGAGGGAACGTGAAACCCATGGGAGTGAAAGTGGGAAGCAGGGGGAGAGACAGAGGCAGAGGCGAGCGGAGCCCGGCAGTTTCTTCTTTCCCAGAGAAAGGGGAAGAGGCTTTTGGGGAAGGTGAGGTGACAGGAAGCAAGTGACCCCAAAGAAGGGGTCCGGTTCTCTGAAGTGTTGCTTCATCCCTCCCACTTTAGCAGAATTCACAAGAGGCTTCCCGTTGCTCAATGTTCACCTTTTTGCACCAAACCGTGGGGTTTAGGCCCAAACTCAGATGTTTGTCTGCTCTGGGGCTCATCTTCTTCCAAATCATCGTAATTAAAAATCTTAACAAAACGTTGTGCTCTCACAGGAGTCTGTTGTTGCCACTAGGACAAGGGTGATTTGACTGTACTTGGGGGAAAATGATGTCAGTGTTACTTGGCTGCCAGCCGCTATCCCTGGCAGCAGAGATGGGCTGCAGCCTGTGGAGATCCTCTGGAGCTGGTCAGCAGCACAGCCGGGAGGAACGAGCTCTGCTGGCAGCTGATGTCCAGCTGGAAGGGTTCCTGTATCCCAGGAAAGCTCCTTCCTTTCTCCCTGCCACTTTGCAGCAGCCCACCCTCCCCAGGGAAAGCCACTCATTTAGGAAGTGCTTGGCATGCAGATGTTGCCATTTAGACTTGCCCAGACTGTTGAAAATGGATTTTTTTTTGTCCCCAGGAAAGTTTTCATTAAAACAGAAACTTTCGTTGAGGTGTATGTGCACACGCAGTGATGTGCAGGGACTTCTCCTTTTTCCCTGGGTAGAGAAACAAGCTGGAAACTTCAACACTATTTTTAGTGAGAGAGATTTGGTTCCCCCCACCTCCCCATGAAAAGCTTTTCAGATTTGGGCTTTTAAAAAATAAGATCAAAGAAAGAAAACTATTTTTTCATGTCCCAGGCTGTCTATAACATCCCTTTCCCTCATAAAAATTCAGCCAACTCTTCTCACTTCAATGACATGGAATAGATCTTCCTATTGCAATGGTTGGGTGCAGCTCTTGATGTTCTGGAGAGCTCCAAGTCGTGCTCTGAGCAGAACATGGGATTTGGTCAGCGAGGCTGATTGAGGCTGCCAGCAGCACGAGGGGGATCCTTGCCAGCAGAGCAGAGAGGGAAGAGACCAGGGAAAGAGAAAGTGGGAAAGAGTAAGCAAGAAATAGTGAAAAGCAGGAGGTTTAGGGAGATAAGAGAGAATCCTGGAATGATTTGGGTTGGAAGGGATCTTAAATCTCATCCCATTCCACTCCTGCCATGGCAGGGACACCTCCCACTGTCCCAGGCCACTCCCAGCCCAGTCCAGCCTGGCCTTGAGCACTGCCAGGGATCCAGGGGCAGCCACAGCTGCTCTGGGCACCTGTGCCAGGGCCTGCCCACTCTCACAGGGAACAATTCCTGCCCAATATCCCATCCATCCCTGCCCTCTGGCACTTTGAAACCATTGTTTCTTGTCCTGTCCCTCCAGGTCCTTGGACAGTCTCTCTCCATCTTTCCTGTACCTTCAGGCTCTGCAAGGCCAGGTGTCCCTGGGCTGCTCCTGGGGACATTTAGAACAAAAAGGGGCCCTGCTGGAGGGTGCAGGGGGGTGTGAGTGACCATCCATGGCTCTGCCTGCTGCCAGAGTGCTCCCAGCCCTGTCCAACCTGGCCTTGGGCACTGCCAGGGATCAGGGGCAGCCACAGCTGCTCTGGGCACCTGTGCCAGGGCCTCACCTCCCTCACAGGGTGGAATTTCTTCCCAATATCCCATCCAGCCCTGCCCTCTGGCACTGGGAGTCATTCCCTGTGTCCTGTCTCTCTCCATCTTTCCTGTCAGCCCCTTCAGGCTCTGCAAGGCCACTGAGCTCACCCCAAAGCTTCTCCTCTCCAGGTGAACAACCCCAGCTGTGCCAGCCTTCCCTCCCAGCAGAGCTGCTCCATCCCTCTGCTCCCCCTGGCCCTGCTCTGGGTCTCTGCAGCAGCTCCAGCTCCTCCCTGTGCTGGCCAGGGCTGGGGCAGCTCCAGCTCTCAGCCAGCACAGCTCTGTAAAACGCCAAAGGCTGCGTGCTCCAATCCCAGCCAAACCCCATCGCTCCTGCCAGACCTTAGACAAGTGACTGACTCTGTTCCCTTCCTTAATTCACTGTTTGTTTTCCTTTTGGCTGTAAAGCCTTGGGGACAAGGGCTGCTCTCTGCTTTTATAGAGATCAGATCTCATTTCAGGGTAGGTGTGGCTCCATTTATCCTCAAATAAAACTCTTCTGTGTATTTTTGTGAAGTGCTGTGTAGACAAGTGATTTTTTAACTTTTTTTTTTTTTTTTTTTTCTCCTTTGGGGTCCCAGTTGCATATTCTAGGGAAAAATACTAAAAAAAAACAATATTCATATTTTGACCACAAGTGTCAAAGCTAATTTTCTCTTCACTGTGAATGCTACAAAAAGCTGAAAATATATTCAAGGCATGAGTCTTGCCAGCAGATGGACACAGATATCTCTGGGGAACACCAGGAATTTATTTTTATTTTATTTGGCAAGGATTTACAGGGCAGCCAGCTCTGAGTTACAACAGCTTGTGAGAACTTTTATTGGCCTCAGCCTTCTTGCAGCAGTGCCCTGCAAATCTTTGGCTGGAAGAGAAGGAGCAGCTGGAGCCTCCTGAGATGAGCTGGGAACAGGCTGATGCTCTGCCCCTGGCACGGAGGCTGGGCTGAGAATTTGCTCTTAAAGATCCCAGGAGAGGGAGGAGAAATTTCTTTTTTCCTGTGCAAACAAGCGTGCCTGGCAGAGAGGAGCCTGGCACTTGCCAGGAAAGGACTCAGCGAGGCAGATCTGGAGCTGCCAGGAGAAACCCAGCACTGGGATGGGCTGGGATGCTCTGGGATGAACTGGGATGCACTGGGATGTACCAGGCTGCTCTGAGATTCTTTGGGATGGTCTGGGATGCACTGGGATGCTCTGGGCTGATCTAGGATTCTTTGGGATGTTCTGGGCTGCACTGGGATTCTCAGAGATGCACTGTGATACTCTGGGATGCACTGGGATGTACTGTGATACTCTGGGATGCACTGGGATGTACTGTGATACTCTGGGATGCACTGGGATTCTCAGAGATGCACTGTGATACTCTGGGATGCACTGGGATGCTCGGGGATGTTCCCCAGCCATCCCTGGCTGCACGACAGGGAACGGGGACCCTGGGGAAGCACCGTGGTCTCATCCTTCCTGTGAAGGGCTCTGGATCAGGGCAGTCAGGACACAGACAGGGAGGGTCCTGCTCGGCTGTCAGTCATGTCACATCATGCCACCCTTCACATGTCTCCTGCTGCTCCCCATTTGTCCCCAGCTCCTCTCTCAGCCCAGGCTGTTGTGCAAATCCTCCCGCTCTTGTCAGACATGTCCCAGCCTGTGTTCCTTGAGAAGTTTCTACTGATCACAGAAATCTGCAGGGGTTATCAACTGCTGCTGCAGCTCAGCGAGCTTTGAAGTGGGCAGATGTTCTGCTGGGAAGTTACTGTGGGACTCGGAGATGTTTTGGAAGAGCTGAAAAAGTATGAAAGAAATTAGGGTTTCAAAGAAAACAGTTTGGCACTGGGGCATGTCACCGCCGTGCTGCTGAGTTTTCTCTGCTGCCTGAAGTGCTTTTTGTTCTCCCTGCGTGTTTGTGCCTGATGTGTCTGAGGGCATTTTGTCTGAGGACAAGCTGGATCACATCTCGAGTGAGGAGAGAGAAGTGCACAGGGATGGTCTGACAGCTGTTCCTGTCTTTAGCATGGAAAATTCTCATTATACTGAAACTTTATTAATTCCTTATGTACATCAAGTACTGGCCGTGCTCAGTTTTTGGGCTCATCATGACAAGAAGGACATTGGAACATGTCCAGGGAAGGGAACGGAGCTGGGGAAGGGGCTGGAGCCCCAGGAGAGGCTGAGGGAGCTGGGAAGGGGCTCAGCCTGGAGAAAAGGAGGCTCAGGGGGGACCTTGTGGCTCTGCACAGCTCCTGACAGGAGGGGACAGCCGGGGGGTCGGGCTCCAGTCCCTTGATAATAAATGACAGAAGAAGAGGAAAACCCCCTGACAGGGGAGGCTTAGGTTGGATATTAGGATTAATTTCTTCACTGAAAAGATGATCAAGCCCTGGCACAGACTTCTTCAGGGCTGTGGTGGTGCCACCATCTCTGGAGGGATTTAAAAGCCATGTGGATGTGGCACTTGGGGACATGGGGCAGCGGTGGCCTTGGCAGTGCTGGGGGAATGGTTGGACTCAGTGACCTTGGAGGTCTTCTCCAAGCTGAACAGTTTTATAGTTGGATGACTCTATGTCTGTCTTTTAAGTTTTGAAGCTTGCACTGAGCGTGGAGAAAAAAAATACTTGAGCATTCAAAGCCCATTTCACAGATTTTCTAAGGGTTTTCAAAGTGATTTTTGTTCACTGTGTAGGGAATGCTTCATGTTTTATTTGCATCACCATTTCTGCTGAATCCCGAGAGACTGCCCACGGAAAGACAAAGCAGAGAGGATCCCTCAGCTGGGAGGACAGGGGAAATCAGGGCATGAATTTGCTCTCCTTGATCTCATCATTTCCTTCCTGCTTGGCATTTGGTTGGATCATCTGGAGTCTCCCACCAGAGGCTTCATGTGCCAGAGGGGCAGCAGGACAGGAGGGGAGCAGAGGGATGGGAGGGC